AGTGGATCCGCAAGATACTAAAATTATTGAAAGCATACGGCTGAGTAGGACACAAATGGTGGATAAGGATGGATGGCACTTCATGAATATTGGAAAGTACATGGTTAAGTCAGATTACCAAGTAGAAAAGGTTTATCCCGATAGGGAACAACTACCAGTTTTGGTTAGACCCACAGTGGATATTTTGAAGTCGTATTGCTGGAAAATACGATGCCCCCCAATGATAAAGCATTTCCTATGGCAATTGTTATTGGGTTGCATCGCAGTCAAGAAAAATCTCCAAGCGAGAGGAATCAAAGGGTATATATGTTGTGATAGATGTGGATATTCAAAAGAATCAATAAATCATGTGTTTTTTTTTTCCTCCGGCATGCCAGGTTTGGGCTCTTTCACGGATACCTTCAAATCCAGCAATTTTCCTCTTCCATTCTCTATTCAAAAACATGGATCATTTATTCTGGAGAGTGCAACCGAAATTGGAGGATCATCACTTTGCTTGGATTCTATGGTATATTTGGAAAGGAAGGAATAACAAGGTTTTTAGTAACATAGATATTGATCCCAAGGATACACTCAAATTGGCAGAGACTGAATAAACGCTCTGAATGGAGGCACAAGCTTTGCGAGCACAGAGACCGGTACAATATGCGGAGGCAGTTAATATACCGATTATTCCAGGAATGTGGTGTTTCACAGACGGATCGTGGAAGAATAAGGATACTTTCTCAGAAAAAGGATGGTATAGCACTTTAGAAAGTTTTGATAGCTTGATGGGAGCAAGAAACATTCGAGCAAGTCTCTCATCCCTCCATTCCGAGGTCGAGGCTTTGATATGAACGATGGAATGTATGAAAAATTTACGTCAGTTACGGGTTACGTTTGCAACGGATTGTTCTTAATTGGTGAAAATGGTGTCAGAACCACATGAATAACCTGCTTTTGCAAGTTATTTGGAAGACATAAAAGCCCTCCAACAAGTTTTTTCTCAGCTCAGATAGTCTAGCACGAAGTGTCAGGACACAGCCGTCTTTTGTTGTTCACATGGATGGGAAGTTACCGTTATGGTTTACAAGTCTGTTAATGTGGATGACAAAAAAAGAAAAAAATATTAGTGATTTAATGTACATTTAATTATAAAGTAAGAAAGTGTATTAAATTTAAAAAGAGCTAATTAGCTCAATAACCATAGAAAAAAGATTTATTAGGTATCAGGACATGTATGTTTTCTGGAAAGAAATAGGAGTTACTATTCCCTTTGTTACCCTTAAACCGTGTTTCCTTAGGTACTACACATCATCTAAATCATCCATTTAATACAAAAAACTATACAAGCACTCGATTCAGTGTTCTTATCTCAAAAAAACTATTGGTTCGTCTCCACAAATTACCAGATCCAAAAAAATTATATTTATTTTAATTAAACCCGCCCATGAAAAGGGGATATAGAGGTTATACAATCCCGGCTAACTGGCCGGAAACAATAGCCCTATGTTACGGAGACTCGACAATGCAACATCAAAGCGAAAAACGAACAAGAAAAGAGGATCAATGTGGGTGAAAAGACTGGAGGAGCTTCCTACTCCGATGAACACCAACGGAGATCCCGACAAAAATTGCAACTTCACAGATCCGAGTGTCCAAACCAGATCGTAGCTCTGCCGAATGTTGTCGTCAAGATACACACACCATTGGAGAGCCACTGCGGCCACAGACACCGAAGTCGATGAATCCAGCTTCCAAACCCTAGCTTCCGCATATCAAACCTTGCATCAACGCCGATTCCAAGTCCGAGGAGTCCACACACGTCTTCACCAACAACACAGAGGCGAGAAGAAGCCACACCGGAGCGGAGACAAAGCTCGAGTAACAGCCATCCCAAAGTCATACAAACAACGACTGCAACCCTCACATAACAGGTACAAACCCTAAGTCCCTTTGCTTAACCAGTGGAAACAGCCTCTTTTTTTCGTCCTCAAACAGAGTGAAGTAGCCAAGGGTTCCGACGAAACACCAGGACCGCCGAGTCATCGTGGATGCCCACATACATGAGACCTTACCGGTTCACCGAGGAGAGGAAAAGTAGCCCAAGATAGTTAAGTTAAAATATATTGTTTTCAAAACAAAATCCAGTTAAGTTCTGGTGTGAAAACGGTTACATATCTACGAAACCGGAAGTGAGAAAAAAGTTAAGTAAAAATAGGCGTGGTTGTTATATTGTTAATAACCACTTATATAGCTCGGAAACCGGCAATGAAAATCATATGTGCACTTTGCTACTTTTGAGTATAAGTATGGATCGATTTAAAAACAAACTAATTAAAAACCGGTTACATAGCATTGAAATCCAGTAATTTGAAACGTTTTAAACCGGGTATAGCATTGAAAACCGGTTATGATAAGATGTTGTAACATCGGTAGCATTGGATAAACCATAATTTTCTTCTAATAGACCGAATGCTTCAAATGATCAACACATGTTTAATTTCCATCGACAACCTAAACATTCTGATAAAGCTCTTTGATAACACCTATATTAATTCTCCAAAATATGGAAAATTTATGGCAAGCACAAACTCATACTCCTCATTGTCTTCTCAGGTCTTAAAAATCCGGTGGTTTTCTTTGTCGTTGTTCAGGCAAACAGTCATGTATGTCGATTGGCATACAGATATTATCCGGTTGCAAAGTGAATGATCCGGATGAAGATGCAACAACATACAAGAACCATAATTCAACTTAATGACGTTTTCAAATAAACCTTTAGTACATAACCAGATGTTTCATTAGGGTGCGTGAGGTTAATAAACCTTACTGGAAAAAATAGGTATCAATTAGAGGTGATCTTTCAGGTCGTTGTGTGGGATAATGGGAAGATTCATTACTATAGTTGCCACTTATCTCCGTGATGGATGTAAGCATTAGGATAATTTTCGGCACCGATTACAATGATTCTTCCCTTTACCTCACTTCCTCCAATTGATAAGATTAAAAGTTGTGTAGTTTAGGGATGCAAAACCATATGTAAAAAATTACATTTATTAGATGATGAATGTTTGTATGTAGTTGCTTTCGAATAAAATACTAACATCAAAATAAAAAAATATTTCATTCTTGACAAAATTAAACTAGATCTGGATTATGCAACATCGTCTAATGTTAGTAGTATTATTAAGAAGACTTCCACCCCCAAACCGTATTATAAGGAATTATATTAAATGAAAACAAATATCATCGTCGGTTGGTGGCATAAAAACTTAAAAAATATAACTGTTACCTCTTCTTAATAAATTGTCTGTTTACCATTTATTTATATTGATTAGTACACAGTTGCTTATAATCGAATCTATTATTATTCATGATAGTAGTACTCCACTAGGTCTGCCAGTTTCTTACACCAGCCTCAGCATAACTGACATGTCTATTACCTATCCAACTAGTGTTCCTGAGGTTGTAGGCAAGTAAGTCGACTCTCTGAAGGGTATTATCATCAAACAATTTGGATCGTATAGTCATATGCTTAAATACGAAAAGGTGATGTTCAGGTACCTAATAAAAGTTTGAGTTTATGTTATAGGACGCAACGACTCATTTAAAAACTTACAAAATAAATATTAGGTACGACATGTTTCTGATTTAATAAGATAGATTCATTGAAAGAAACCTCTTTAGAAGTTCATTGCACCATAAGCTCAGCACCGGAGATAGAGGGCGTTCTTGCTGCAAAAATAAAAAAATAAAAAATCTTCACGAGAAAGATCATTGGAGTACGAGTTCGACATTCGGACCAACTCAAAATCCCAACATTTACAAGAAGATCCAAGTGAACACATGATCGCGTTTTCTCTATAGACATGGGATGTGCACGTACTTCACCGCCTTAAAAATATGCAGGATATTAGGGCTGGACACTAATACTTGTTACTCGTCAATACTTGCTACTTGATTCGTACTCGGTTTACAAAATCGAATACTTGGTGTTTTCAAGGCAAGTAACAAGTATGCAAATCTTATTAGTTGCAAGTACAAGTCAAGTATCAAGTATCACAATTTTTTTAAGTACCCGGCTTGTTACTTGTTTTTTAACTTAATATTGATTCTAAAAACTTGTACTACCCCTTAATATACTTGTTTTACTACTGTTATTGTAATAATTTTTTGATTTTTTAGCTTTTTAAGTATTTAGTGTAATACATACTTTTATCAAAAAAGTGTAATACATATATACTTGTATTTAATGAATTATATATACATGTACTAAATCAAATAATTTGAACAAACTAAACAAAACAACAAATATATGAAAAAACATATATATTCCACGTTAACCAAAACTTATATGTTTTAGTATATTTAATTTTTTAAATTTTTAAACTTAAATAAACAAGTATCAAGTATTACCAAGTAATTTGCAAGTATTTAAAATATAAGTACTTGATTACCTAAGTAATTGATCGAATCAAATATAAGCACAAGTAAAAAAATTTAGTACTTGCACAAGGCTTGTCAAGTAACGGGTAGGACAAAAATCCCAAGTACTCGGTTTGCGCCCAGACCTACGAGATATATCCTACTTTTTCTAGTCTTAGCAGACCCATGACTTGGTTTTTAAGAGTGAATGTAAATAATTTTATAAATTCTAAGGCTAAAAACTCAATTAATAATTAATATTAAATATTTTATAACTGTCATTTGTCCAAAAAAAAAATGATATAAAAGTTATGATGGATTCTTTACCAACAAATAAAAAAAAATTGAAATTGGTGATCTTAATAATTTAAAAAACTGTTAATTATTTGACAGACTTCATTAAAATTCAATGTTTATCAGATAAAGAATTTCAACCACTGATTTACGGAAGAAGGCACATGATTCCAAAGATGAAAAAATTCAAAAGCTTGGTGTTGTAAGTTCCAGTTCCTGACCAAACTACAATCTCTCTTTTTGTTCAAAGACCAAACTACAATCTATTACTGTATTGTAAGGTCTTCTTCAAGGAAAACTGATGATGGATCATGAGTTGCACAAATGGCATAAACTCAAGGCCTTTTTGCTTAATATATCTCTCTGGATTGTTGATTCCACTTATACAGTATAATAATAACTAATGATGTTTTTTCTTCGGTCTAAGCTGGAATTGTAAGTACGATTCATAACTAGAACACACAGGTTGACTACATTTCAGAATTAATTGAAAATAACTGGAGAAAATTATTTATTACCAGTATATAATATGTTGATGGTTGATAGAGAAGGAAGAGAGAAAGAATTAACTTGCACAAAAAGAAGAAGAAGAAGAAGCGATTCTCATTACAATCTTTTTCAAGCAGCTAACTGAATCTCGCCGAGTTCTAGCTGAGCAGCGATATCTTCAAGCTGCTTCTTCACACTCATATCAATAAGCTTCGACCCAGAATCACCGTACCGAATCGTAAACCCAGCGACAAGACTCGGATCAAGAACCGTCTTAACCCTCACGTTCTTCGCTCCCGTTAGCTTCTGAACCTGTTTCGCGATCTGAGCAAGCTGCGGCGGCTCCAGTTTCACCACCGACCTAACCTCCGCCAGCTGCGTATCCGTTATCTTGTTGTAAACAATCTCGAACTCCTTCACGATGTCCGTCACTATGTTGATACGATTCGCGTCCACCAAGATGTTGAGGAAGTTCGATGTGTGGCTCTGGAGAGACGACGATTTCACGATCTCGTCGATCACGAGGCGCTTCTTCTCGACCTCGACGGTTGGATTCGCGAAGAATTTGAGCACCAGCGGGTCTGAGAAGACCTTCTCGAGCTTCTCCACGTCTGCGCTCGTCAATTCGAGAGTGTCGTTCCTCTTTGCGACATCTGCGAGAGCCATCGCGTAGCTTCCTGCAGCCGTGGCTGACATTCTCGCTCCCGCGGCGTTTCCGCCTCTGATTCGGAGTGGTAATGTTGCCTTTCGCAGAGGAAGAGATCTCGCGATGTTGAAAGATGATGGAGTCAGTTTGGACTGCACAGAGAACATAGTTTGCTGAAGAGACGCCATTGCAGAGGAGAGAGAAGGAGAGGCACAGAGAGATAGAGAGAAGGAGAGAGAGAGAGCGCGATTTGTGGTTTCTCGAAGACGAGAGGAGGAGAAGAAGCAGGTAAGGTTTGGGGAATTATAAATTGACGGTGGAGATTTGTTGATGAGGAAAGATCGAGGGTATAGAATAGAAGCTTTATCTTGAGCTAAGATTGCAGGAGGATGGAGAAGCCGCCACGTGGTTTTAAATGATAGGTAAGATATCTGTGTTCCTTATTGACGAGGATCCATTCGAGTTATCCAATCCCACAAATCATGTTGATAGCTACGACATGTATCGTACCAAACTGAAATAACCAAACTAAACCAGATTTTATGAATAATGACTCATATTCTATATTTCTAGAACCAAAAAATTGAACCGAAACCAAACTAAACAAAATAGTTGATGGATATCAATAGGGATGTTAATATGGGTAACCCATGAGTTTACCCAAACCCATTGATAATGGGTAGTGTTTTTACCCATCTAAAACTAATTGGGCTAAACATGGGTAAAAAATTTAAAATTCATATTAGATTAGGTAAATACAAGAGGGTAATGGGTACCCATGAGTTTTAATTTTATAACATTATGTTTTTCACTATTTTAATTGACTTTTCCCGCAAAATTAGAAAAACGATTTTTTTTTCGTCAAAACCGCAAAAACGTGTTTTACGCCAAAATCGGAAAAAATGAGTTTTCCCGTCAAAACCCAAAAACAAGTTTCCCACCAAAACAAAAAAAAAAACGGGTTTTCCCGCCAAAACTGAAAAACGTGATTTCCCGCAAAAACGTGTTTTTCGCCTAAACCGCAAAAATGTGTTTTCTCGCCAAAACCTAAAAATGTGTTTTACCGTCAAAACCGCAAAACCACAAAAACGTGTTTTCCGCCAAAATATAAAAAATGAGTTTTCCCGCCAAAATCTGAAAAACGTGTTTTCCACCAAAACCGCAAAAATGAGTTTTCCCGCCAAAACCGCAAAAATGTGTTTTTCCGTCAAAACCGCAAAAACGTGTTTTCTCGCCAAAACCATAAAATATGTTTTCCCGCCAAAACAAAAAAAAACGTGTTTTCTGCCAATACGTGTTTTCCGCAAAACCGTGTTTTTCGTAAAATGAGTTTTCTGCAAAAATCGACTTTTTCCGACAAAATCAGAAATGCGTTTTCTCGCCAAAACCGGAAAATGAGTTTGCGGCCATACTGGAAAAACTAGTTTCTAGGAAAAAAAATTCTACATAAGCTCTTTAAAATAAATAAAATAGTAGCTTGGGTACCCATGAGTTAACCTATATCCTACTGGGTTATTTTTTGGGGTTTTAATTTAACCTTCATGTTTCTGGATTTTCGCTGGTAGGATATAAACAGGGTCGGGTTTTTTGTGGGTTGGGCTAGGTTGGGTTATTTTACCCATTTTAACATCCCTAGATATCAAAATTTTAAAATACAGATTAGTTACATATGAATATAAATTATATTTAGTTTTTAAATAACTAAATATCCCAAAATAAGTATTTATAAACCAAAATATCAAAACACCCAAAAAATCAAATATTAATTTACCTGAAATATTTAATATTATCTAATTTTCCGATAATTTTATCCAAAAAACCTGATTTACCTGATATTTAATTTAAAAAATCAAATTATCCGACATTTTAAACATATTATCTGAAATTACTTAAAAATAAAAAATCAAACTAGAACTAAATTGGATCTGTTTTCTTGGAATATCAGCCAGCTCCCAACTCTGTAATGGTCTCGGAGAAGAAGATGTTGAATTTCATTGAAACCTTTCTAGGCTTAGGATTCAGCAGAGAAGAGTTAGTGATGATGGTCAAGTGCTTTCCTCAGTGCCTTGTACATTCTACAGAGATGGTGACGAAAATAATTGAGTTTATGGTTAAGGAGATGAATTGGTCAGTTACTGTGTCTTTGTTTCCTCATGTAATTTCATACAGCTTGGATAAGAGGATTGTGCCACGGTGTAACGTAATCAAAGCTCTCATGTTAAAAGGATTGCTCAGAAGTGAACCCACTTCAGTTTCGTCTGCTTGGCATGTACCAGTGAAGCTTTCTTAAAAAAGTATGTGATGAAGCACCATGATAAACAGCTTGTGCTTGAGCTGATGGCTACCATCACAAAAAAATAATGTCTAATAGATTAGAAAGCTTGTCAAGTTTTATTTTTCTTTTCTGTTAGTTTTATATTTTTTTGATGGATCTTTTGACTCTGAAAATAGCATGCAAGATAATAAACGTTTATTATACTACTTAACTTTTTGTAATCTCCAATGGATTGGATCCGTAGCCAAATCTTTTTATATATCCAATCTGAAAAGCTTTTTTTATGAGCTATTACTAAAAGAATTACAGTTTTCTAAACTGCCGTCAGAAACAGAGGCTACCCTATAGATATGCCTTTGAATCAAACTAATACATCCCTTTTCTTGCTTATTTCAAGGGCCGGCTCAGTACAAAGGGCAAGCAGTTCAATGATTCCAGGATCCATTAAAAGTTTAGAGAATTATTATATTTTTAGGGGCTTTATTTGAACAAATATTATTATTAGGGGCCTAAATTTTTTAATAACATGAACCAGCCCTGCTTGGAAGAAGAAAATTTACATTAGAGCCCCTAATGATAGTGAGCCGGCCATGCTTACTTCACTAGCAAGATATTCCCGATTGTCATCAGACAAAAAAAGGGTTGGACTAGACCAGCTAAGAGCCAGATTCCATATTCCAGATGCGACTATTGTTACAGCACAAAAGACTAGGAAAGGTAAATAGATATTTAGAGAAGATAGGTATTCATATCATGGACACCTTAACCTGTCCATCACAACAGTAACCTGCCAGTGCCGGCATGTTCAGATCTTGGTCGAGTACAGAGACAGGCCTGCTGAGTCCGGATACAATGATGATGAGAGCAACTTGTTTTCAGAATGTTTTCCCATGTTCACAATACAGAATAAATGTTGCTGTCTTATAGTCTGAAGTAAACGTTTGTGAAATAGCGGAAGTAAATAAGGAAAGACCAGAGTTTTGAGATGCACTTGAACCTCATCAATGATTTCACTGGCAATCTCATCGGTATTTGCATCAACACATCCTCACATCCTCACGCATCTGCTGAAAGGCGTAGCTTTCATATAAGGCTCCATGAGGGCTCTCCTATACCTCCTGGCTTCTCCTTCTAACTCTAAATTCTTCTTCTTACTCAGCTCTTCATGGCGGCTAGCAGGGAAGACAATTCATTGTTGTTTTGGAAGGATTTGTTCCAATCTTCTTGATAACCTACCCAAACTAATTTTGTTTTTATGTACTTTCAAATAATACACCTATTTTTTTTATCTCAAAGAAGAACAGCACTTGGGTTCACCCATGTTTAAATTCACCTCACTCCTAATAACCAATAAAAATACCAACACGTAAGATTAATAAAAAAATAATTTAAAAAAAATAGCTGAAGAAAGATACCAACAATATTAAAACTTTAAATTCTAATATCTAAATTTTAAACGCAATCCTAAACTTTAAACTCTAAACCATAAATTTTGAAATCTTAAACTCTAAAACCTAAACTCAAATATTAAACCATAAATCCTAAATCCTAAACCAAAGATCATTAACCCTAGAACCCTAAACTCTAAACTAAAATATTAAACCTTAAACCCAAAACTCTAGGATTCATGAACCCAAGATCTCTAAATCACAAAACCAAGTATTGTTGAATGGTATAGATACTTTAAAATTTGGGTTTAGAGTTTAAGATTTAGAGTTTAGAACTTAAGGTTTAGAGTTTATGGTTTAGGAGTTATGCTTTAGAGTTCGGGGTTTAGGATCTAGGATTTAGCGTTTATGATTTAGAGTTTAGTATTTAATTTATAGAATTTTGGATTTTGGATCTAAAATTTATTGTTTAGAGTTTATAATCTAGGGCTTCGCAAATGCATTAACGTTGTTGTCGGTATTGTTTTTTTCCAGCTATTTTTTATTAATCTTTTTATTTAATCTTATGTGGTATTTTGATTATGGTTATTAAATGTGAAGTGAATTTAACCATTTGCCGCATGAGTTAAGAATTGTTTCTTAAGGAATCAGTTTTTTTTTTATGAGTTTGACTTTTTGTTAGTGAATGAATAAATATGTTGTAACTTAAACCTTAACAAATAAAATCTTACAAATCTTTCCTTTCTTATTAGGAAGCTAATTACTGTAGATTTGTAATAATTTAATGATCCAACCAAAAAATTGTTTTTGTACTTTTAACCTGACCATTAGATTAGTAAATTGTATATACCAAAAAGACTCATGCTATCCGAAGGTGTTCGGTTCAGCGGTTGATCACTATTCAATCGTCAGGTAAATAATTGAGTGCAGACGTTTTCATGAGGTGATTTGTATACACATCATAACCAACCAAATGCGAGAATTCTCGAAGTTCTAAAAACGTTTTTTAATCTTTTTTTTTGGTTAAATACAATCTATCTTATTAAAACAAAAACATCACAAATTCTTCTATGTAAAATTTTTAAGTTGGACTTTACATTATTAATGTAATATTATATGTCTAATTAGTCTAATTACGATATGATATGATATCGCGGATATCTATTTTTTCTAAGAAGTTATTGATATTTCGATATTTTATTATTAATAAGAATATAATTATATTTCATGTTTAGGAAGTTAGTCATATATCCACATTCAACTATTAAATAATATTTAATTTAGATATATACCTTCTTATTCTTTAGGAAAATCTCCAGTATATGTTTTTATTAAACACAAAAACTCAGTTACAATTAAAACTTTTGATTTTTTATTAATTATAAAGAACAATTTTAGTTTTAACAAATAATGCTTATGTTTACTTCAAAAAAATTATAAATAAGAATCAAAAGAAATTTACTTGGATACAAAAAAATATTTACATAAAAGTAAAATACTAAAAGTTAATTAATATTTATAATATTTGGTTATATTATTACAAATTATGCTTGATGTTACAGTTAAAATTTTTGTAGGTTATTCTATGAGGCGTACAAAATAATTATCAAATAAAAAATAAATTGAAAAAATATTTGATCATTTTTATTATAACATATTAACATAAAAATTAATCAACATGAAACAAATTAAAAAGATTAATTATACCTGATTTCAGTTTTAAAATAAAAATTGCGATTTTCATATAAACATAATTATTATTATATTGGATTTCATATTGGCTATCCATCGGCTTAAACGGTTAGTTTCAAAATTTAGTGATATTTGTAGATTTTATCAGACTTTTAAATAATAGATTCATTAAACTCAAAACCAGAATATATCAAATCACCGGGTTTACCAGTTCGACCACGGATTCAAATCGGGATTAAAAATGATGATTTGAATGTAAAATGTTTTAAATAGTAAAAATTCTTACAGATTAATAAAAAATTTGTAACATTCTTAAGTACGGGTCAAAATCATTAAAATTTAATAAAAAATAAATTTACTTATTTTATAGAAAAGTTATATACAATATAACTTTAATTTTGCATTTCAAGAAAACATACATAATTAGTGTTTTCATTGCACGATTATATCTACGTAATACACTGCTGAACACTATTAATACAAAAAACAGTTTTGATACTTTTCTTTAAATATAAAATAGAATTGGACAAACTCAAAACTATATAAAACTAAAGTTTTGATATTTTTCTTTAAATATAAAATAGAATTAGACAAACTGGAAACTATGTAAAACTAAATTAGAATACATCCAAAAAAGAAAATAAAAAGCTCCCATTTATTACCACAGCCTCTGAGGACGAAGATGAAGAAGGGAAGCTGTGCTAATGCAACCAACACCGAAACACTGCTCAAGAAATCAACGCGTGCCTTAGACCACCATTATCGCATGGTTTTAGGAGGGGTTTTACCCAAAAAGCAAGGTGTGGGCCACCACAAAAAGGAAGAAACGAGTTGCACAAGTTGCAGGAGATGAAACGTTTGTTCATGGTTTTTGGTACTGTTTGCGGGCCCCACAGACATGTGGTGGCCCGCCATTGGTGTATTTTCTAATTAATTTTTTTTTTAGTTAAAAAATAAAATTTAAGAAACCCATTAGTAAGTTTGTGGGATAAAGATGGTCTTAGCTTTTTTATGTAACTGATATGTCGGCTAAGCATTTGGAGCCAACGGCTTGGTCATCTCCACAACCTTTTCTCATATCATTCACATCATTGGGAACAAGATTGTCCGAGGTACACTCGCATGTCGGAACAAAACCATCGTATCTACAAATCCCAAAGTTCCCACAGAAATCAAACACTTGACACTGGTCAGCAACAGCAACCCAAGTCTGTGTCTGAATCTCACTACCTTTGGCAACACTAAAAATTTTCAAATTTCCATCTTCCTCCAGCTTCAAAAATCTAAACACGCCCTCTTCTTCTCGTTCTCCGTAGTCATTGCTTCGAACAGAAACCACCACGCTGCTTGGATTCAGAGTCGAAAATAGAGGCGACTCCATTACGTTCCAAAACAAAACTCGGCTTCGAGAGATTGGGACTTGAACTATTAAGCTCTTGACTCCAGTAAACTATACTATTATTCCACTTAAGATTCAGACTACCTTTTTCCGTAAGATGAAACGAGTAAGAACCAGATCAGAGAGACATACCGACAGTGAAACTCTGCGTCGGAACAATAACGTTGCTGGGGTGAGCAAAGGAAGACCAGACTGTCTTGTTTCTGCGACTCCGAAGGACAAGGTTTCCAGAATCGTCGAGAGCGGCAGAAGTGACTCCTTGGTTTTCGCTGCCGGAGTCTCAAACAGTAGCGCCAGAGCTGTTAAGTATAGGTGAGTTATATATATAGAAAGGTCTTGAATGTAATTAGTCTTAACCTAGTACTCCTTGTATAACTTCTATATATTCTGTAAACACTCATCTAATAAGATCATCAGACCATTACATCTTATATGGTATCAGAGCAACGATACCTAAAAACCTAAAAAAAAAAACTTTTTCTTTTTCAAAACTTAGCCGCCACCTTCATCTCTTTGATCTCATCATGTCCACATCC